CAGAGATAGGAAATAGCTATTGCCTTAAATGTATTATTTCTGAATAATGTCATTTCAGAAGAGCTACAGATCAAATATTTAATGAGTAAAAATGAATAATAAACAGTTATACCAAAGCACCGAGTTCATATTTTTTCATACGGGAGGAATTTTTACAAGGGCATGTAGAGACAGGAAATGGCTTTAAACTGGAGGAGTGTAGACTTAGACCAGATATTAGGAAGGCATTATTTTCTGTGAAGGTGGTGAGACACTGGCACAGGTTGTCCAGTGAGGTTATGGATGCCCCTCCCTGGGAGCATTCAAGGCCAGGCTGGATGGGGCTGTGAGCAACCTGGTCTAGAGGGAGGCGTCCCTGGCTATAGCAGGAGGGTTGGAACCAGCTGATCTTAAGCGTCCCTTCTATCCCAAACAATTCTATGATTCTATGATTCAGATCTGGATTTAAAAAAAAAAAAAAAAGGAAAAAAGAAAAACTGAATCACCTGAACAAAAAGAATACATTTTGTTTCATAAGACAACAGAAAAATGAAATTTGAAAGCAGAAACAAGATATTAGATTAATAGCTTGCCCTGGTTTCAGCACTGAGCGGTCACCAATGTTTGGTTGTTGCTGAGCAGTGGATGCACACTTGGGGCAGAGCCACTGCCGTGATGGCTCGGAGCATTGGGCGGCCGCACTGTGAGCTGTGCTGGGCCGCGTGCCGCAGGCTGCAGGTTGGACGTGTCTGGTCTACATGACCTTAGTGATCTCGTTTAATCTTCACGATTCCATGATTCCGTAAGTGTTCCAACATGATTGTACTTGGTTATATAATAAAAATAGGGGCATTTTTCATGCGATTTTGTAACTAATCCAAAAAAACCAGACACTTGTGTCACATTTTAATTAGAAGATGGATGGTTATCTGTCAGAGTCCTTTGAAAAAGTCCATTCTAAATATGTCTTACTGATGATCTTTTTTTTTTTCTTTTTTTTTTTTTTTTAAGGAAAACAGATTGCCTGCTTCTTTGTGGGAAATTACTGTGCAATTGAACTCAGAACATCTCTTAATGCTGGTATAACCTGGTCAGCTGTGCTGTGTTATCTAAAGTTTCATTTCTGGGTAAATTCATTGAGTAACCAGACTGCTGTAACTTAGAGTTTCTGTCAACTTTGCATCTGCTTACTCTATTGTAGAGGCTGTACTTAACTTTTCATACGTATTTTTTCTGGAGCTGGTAGTGTTCTGATGAAGCTGTAGTTAATATTCCAACAGTGCAGTTTGTTTTTGTTGAGCATTACTCCCCTGAGCAGCCAACACTGTGAAACACTGTGAAAAATATAATCCTGCACATCCAGACGGCTGTTTCCCAGGATGCATGCTGCTGCCAGGATGGATGCATGCATGGGTTTTACCAAAGGGCGGCTTCTACACCAAGCACCAGATTTAAGGCAGAAATATACAGAAGAAAATCTGCAACCCCTCATGAGGAATTGGCTTCCAGATGCTTACAGTGCCTCCTCCTTAAAATTAAAGCCTATGAAAATTCAAGTTAAATGTTAAGATAAATATTCTCTTTCAAAAGCGGTAAAGCAAAGCATCATTGCAGTGTGTTTGCAGCTTCTTAAAAAAAAAAAAAAAAACACTCCAAAAGCCCCTTTTTTCCAAATAAAATCAAGCTTTGCTTAGAAACAGGATGATATAAAAATGGAGAGAACATTTCTGCCTAAGCATAGCAGCACTTCTGACAGAGAAATGCTTTACTTGAGGATTCCCCAGGCTGCATCTGCAGGCACAGAGATGGGTTTGGTGGGAAAGTCTCCACTGCTCGCTACCGTATGCTGGCAGGACCTCCACAACATTCATGCAATGCTCTTTTTTATTTCCATGGTCAGCTTCTCTTAACTAACTGCTCCCGTGGTCCCTTCCACTGCACTCAAGGAAATGAGGCAGGCGGCTTTTTCCACGGCTGATTTCCATTATAAACAAAATAACAACATACAACAGCCGCTAATAAACTGCACATCCCCCTGGAGGGAAACTCACACCTCGCCGTTATCCCATTTTCTCTTTATTCGGAGACTAAGACTTTCAGGGGCAGCCAAGGCAAGGCCTCCCTGGAGGCGATGCTGATGGCAGCCTGGCCCCACGCACCGGGCTGCAGGCCCAAAGGCTGCACATTGCAGTTTCAGTGCTCATCTTTTTTATATCCATATTGCTGTTTTTCCTTTCTGTTTACCATTCTCCCATACCACATCATTTTTATGTCAGGCCTTCAAACAGTTCTTTCTCCTCTTATCATGTGCATTTTTCAACTCTTTTGTGGAGGTGAAGAAGCAGGTTCTGTATAAACACATCTGTATGCTGTGCACAAAAAGATAGGCTGAAAGAAAAACCTCATGAGGGTAAAGCACTTGAGCACTCAAGGATCAGGAAAAGCAGGATGATCTGTGTGTAGTTTTAATTTATGTTCTTTTCATCCTTATACAAAACCAAAGAGCCTAAAGCACAGAAGTTACTGTATCTCACGAGACCTGTAGCAGTTTACTCTCCTTTTCCCTGTTTTGAGCTCTAACTGAACCACATTTCTGCCATCCTGCTGCAGAAAAGTGCTCTGTGCTGCAGCATTCTACACCCAGAGAGGGTGCAGTGATGTCCTGCTACAGAAACCAGTGAGCAGAGGAAGAAGTTGCAAAGAAAGCCAAACAATATGCTCTTTATAAGGAGTTTTAAAAACAATTTCTTACCAAAATGTAAGGAAATCTGTCATCCTGGCTACTGTGCAGTAATCTAACAAAAGCAAATTCAGGTTGGCAGTTCAATCCCAAACGTCACTTTCAATTTTTAATCTATTACACATAAAGGGACCTTTGAATATATTTGAATTAAGGAAGACATCTTTGGAGGTTTTGAAGCCATCTCCATTCACAGGAAGGGAGAGACGAAGTGGGATGGAGAGGAGTGTGATTTTATTTCACCCACATCCTTCATTCTGCTGTAGATAAGAGGGCAGAATTTGTGCAGTACTGCCACCAGGCTCCCACAAAGGATTGTGCCACTGGAGGTGGGTCTGGGGATGAGGGAAGTTGTATTCCAGGGTGCCCACACAACCAAGCTGAGAATTCAGACCAGACACCCATTTTTCCCTGAAGCAGTCTGGAATGGCCACCATCCCCATTCAAGATAAAAATTTGAGCTTCAGAGAAAATGTTGGCAAGAGAAAGGACTGGAACAATATCCTGCATTTGTGAGAGCAATGAAATACAGACTAATTGGATTTTAATGCTTTTCATGTTATGACTCACCTACGAGCTGATATCTCTAGCAGCCTGCTGTCTCAGGGTGAGACCTTGGGTTCTGCACAATAAAGTAAGGAGGGCGCTGTGTGTATCACCCTCACACATATTCCCTTCCATCCCTAGACCATACAGGCTTCTTTTTATCTAAATACTGAAAGGGAGATCAATTCTGGGAAAGATTATTAGCTGTGCAAGGGAACTGGTAGTTTTGCCAAGGAGGAGAGCTTTAGGAAAATGCCTTGCATCTTGCCTTGAAAGTAAAGCACAGCCATCAAACTTGTATCAGTTGTTTGAGAGCTTTCCTTCTCAGGGCTGGTGCAAACACTTTGCCTGTCCTACCAGAGATGGAGCTGTAAATTAGAAAGTCCCTTACTGGCCAAGAGTCTCTGAATGAGCATTCCAACATCTGCAGAGTTCAGCTCAAGAGCTATTACACTCTTTATTCTGCCTCTGTTCAAACAGTGTGTAGCCTGTTTACAAGATCAGATCATGTTATAAAACTTTGTTTATTGGTCAGTACCCTGTTTATTCAGAGTATCTCACTTCCAAAGCCTAAACAGCTGGTTTTGATTGATTCTCAAAGCAAATCTGGCGTACTGCAGCAGTCTGTGTTTGTGCAGCCTGCGCTGACAAGGAACAAGCAACAGAAATTTCTGTTCCTCAGTCATCTTGAGAAGACATAGTAAAATCTGCCCAAGTTCTTCTGTTTTGAAAACTAAATACTGTGGAGACGAAAGGAAAGTGCTCAGACACTAACAGCATACTCATTATAGCTCATTATGATTTCTTTAAGCGTATTTTGAGATGTTTAAATTAGATGTGCTAGAGGAGATTAATTAGAATTCAAGATTTTATCCCTTCTGCTAGTTTTGCATGAGAATCATCTATATTTATAATTGTATTTTGTTATGACACTTCAAATATTGTTCAGTTAATGCTCACAACAGTCTTAAGAATAAATAAATAGGGAATATAATAAAAGAGTTTGTTTAAAAAACTTTAGTACATAAAGGGACTATTTGCTCAGATCTTCAGCAGGCTGAGGGGAGGCCTGATGGCCACAGCTCCTCACAGGGAGCGGAGGGCAGCGCTGAGCTCTGCTCTGTGTGACAGCGACAGGGAACGGCATGGAGCTGCGTCAGGGGAGGGCGGCTGGGGGTGAGGGAAAGGGGCTGCGCCAGAGGGCGGTGGGCATGGAACAGCTGCCCAGGGCTGTGGGCACGGCCCCAGTGCTGGAGCTCAGGGAGCGGTTAGACAGCGCTCTCAGACATTGGGATTGGATTTGGGGTGGTGCTGTGTGGAACCAGGGGTTGAACTTAATCCTAGTGAGCCCATTCCAACTCAGGGTATTCTATGATTCTATGGGCTGATTGCTGCCATGCTCCCCTGGCCATCTCCTGCCACATGTCCTCATGAGATAATCCCAGCGGACACCTGTCCTTGACCAGCCATCATCAAGGGCCAGCCTGTGTCCACCCGAGCTTGTGCTTTCTGTTTGACTCCTTCTTGTATCATGAAGTAACTGCATTCAGGGGCAGCATCTCACTGCAATCCTACTCCTTTGCATGATTTTGAACGTAACCTTTTGACTGGAACTGCATTACTATAAGGAAGATAGCAACCCGAGTGCAAGAATCACGGTATGCCAAAGAAGGCAAAGAGGAGGAACTTGGGTGAACATCAATCAATTCAGCTTTATTTACTATTTTACCACCTATCAAAGTACTGAGCCACTTCTACGCATCTAATACAGGCAATACTTACAGAAAACTTGAGGGTTTTTTAACAAAAGTTTTTCATTAAAAAGCCCTTGCCTGTTTCTCATATTGACCAGAGTTTTATTTTACAAAGTTGTGTTTTATCAGAAAATTCACCAAAGTTTTTCCCTGATCAACTTTATGAAAGAAAATGACAAGCAGATGTATGAATAGCAATGCTCTCATTTGCATTTAGATAAACAATATGAACACAGCCTCAGCAGGAGTGGTTCTTGAAATTCTTTGATGGCTTCTGGTAGTGAACACAATGCCCCACTTCACTTAAATCATTATTTTCTATGCAACATTTGTTTTGCAATACATACTTTGTGTTTCTATGCTCGAATCAGGCCTAGCCTTGAAAACATCAGGCAAGGCGTGGATTTTGAATGGGATCATTATTTCAGAAATACTAGGCTAGACTATAAGCTGGTTTTAGTATGCAACATTCCTTTCACTTCAGTGGAATTAGACTGATTCTGGCTTGCTAACTGTCTGAGTCATGGCATTTGTTTGGTTTTTTTGTTTGTTTTTTTTTTTTTTGGAAAAAAAAAAAAAAAATGTGGGCCAGTTTACAACAAGCAGTAGATCAGGGGAACACCCCTAAACCAAAAAGCAGAATACATGATTGCAAAACAGCAAATATTAAATGTTACCTGATGTCAAGGACAGAATGTAAAACACAAAGCATTCAAATTGATGCCCTGACAGGTTTTGAGCTGTTATTTAACCAAAAGTAGCAGAATCCAACACAGATATCACTGGCAGCCAGAGCTTAGGTGCAAAGGTCTGCCCATGCTGCTGTTGCTGTGCTGAGATGTCCTCAGTTACATTTGCAGTCTGCTTGGCAATAACATCACAAAAGCGTTCTCTTGCATCAATTTAAATTAGAACTCCATTCTAGAACTAAATAAAGGATGAATTTGTATTGAAAGAATCATTTTCAGTGCTGCTCAGCCCAGCTTGATCTATGTGACCTGTTCTTCATATGCTTTTATCACACCCTCAAATTCATTTCAAAATCAAGAGCAGAAGATGTGACATTGCAGTACTGAAAATTGGTCTAGTTAAACCTAAATGGTATCTTTTAAAATTAAAAGTCACAAATGGAGAATAAATTAGAAAGTAATAAGAAACCTAGCATAGAGAATAAAGAATTAAATGGCTTTTCTACAGAACACTGAATGCTAGATGTACTTCTTGAGTATTATTATAGATACCCAATTCCTGGAGATGTTCAAGGCCAGGTTGGATGTGCCCTGGGTAGCCTGATCTGGTGGGTGGCAACACTACCTGCAGCAGGGGGATTGGAACTCAGTGGTCTTTAAGGTCCATCCCAATCCAAGCCATTGTATGACTGCATAATTGTAAGGTCCACAAAGCTTGAACTCTACTATGCCAGTGAGACATTTGAGGCACAAATCCTGGCTCCTCTCACTTGATTTTAAGGCCAGCTCCTGCCTCATGAGGATACACTGAAGATCTCTAACGAATCAAATTAGAAACATAATCCCACTGTCATGTTGCTCTTCAAGGAGGGGCACCACCTCCAAAAGGATTTGGACAGGTGACATCCTGCCCGCAAACAGTACCATCTCGTGGTTGTAGCCAGTGCAACCAGAGGTGCCTTCCCCACCTCTGCAGCGAGCAGACGAGCAGGCAGCCTTGTCTGAGATTGATGAGGACAAAGGGACTGGTGAAGGAAAACCTAGGATTGGGAGAAATAAATAAAAATCAGCCTCAGTGAGAGCACATAGTTTGAAGAGAGATATAAGGGCTGTGTAGGAGAAAGGAAGAGGAGAAGGAAGAAATCTGGGAAGTCTCATGTAAACTTATTACATCAGGAAAAAATAGAAGCACTGTTTGTTTGGGGGAAACAAGAGTGCAAAGGGCAAAAGAACATGATCAGGAGGAGAAAAGTGCTGAGAGAATGTGCTGTGATAATGTAGTATTTGTGAACGAGCTTGGGATGTAATCAGCATCATAAAAAAGACGACTTCTTGTCTTTGCAGAAGACAAAAATAATCTGGCCAAGAAATTGTAGGCTAAGCAGGAAGGCATGGTAAGCAGAGGCCATATACCTTAAGTTCTACTGAATTATCTTTTAGATTCATACATACACTCACATTTAATTAAGTTATGATATCATCAAGCCTTTGGCATGCTGCCTGCTGTATAAACATTTCTGGCATAGATATTCGGTAACTCTATTACAGACTTAGTAATTCAAATGAAGAAGTAGAAAGGCACGGAACTACTGAGAAATTTCAGCCGAAAACCACCTACAGGTTACACAGAACATCCCAGCTTGCCAGTATGCAAGTCCAAAAGCCATGTCTCCACTCACAGGAGCCACACCAAGGTGCCTGTATTAGCAGTCAAACAACAAAGCCTGTCTTGTGTCAGCACAATGATCCCATGTATAAGCACAGCATCATCGGAGTTTGAAGAAGCTGCTGTTGTAGTTGATTATTAGGTTTGTCACTGGTGGGATTCAATTATTTCCATATTATTTGTGTAAGAGTAATGCAAAGAGGTTCCAGCTGGGACCAGGCATCCATGGTACTAAGTACCGGGAGACAGTTTTTTTCTCAGAGGGGGCATGCAATTTCTGCTGACAAGATGCAGGCCAAAGGGAAACAGAGGCATCAAGAAGTGATTTTATTATGAGAAGTACAGCCACAGGCAGACTAAGTCCAAATGGTGCTTAGGTATTAGCAAGTGTCCAGCTGAAATGTAACCATATGCTATTTCTTGATTAAAATAGAAGGCCATCTTAGAATTGTACCATATCAAAAACAATACAGAATTACAAGAAAATAAATTTTAGAGGTACTCAAATGTTAGATGTTATAATCTGGAGGAGAAAAAGGTTTTACTACAAAAATCTGACAACACCCCAATTCTTCTTTCCTAGCTACTTCCTTAAATACAGAAATTTTGCTTTCCATTAGAAAAGCTTTTGGTGGTAGTGGATGTACAGACAGGAGTCTGATTTTGGAGCCTGAACTCTTACAGCAATGGTTTTCATTGTGAAAGCTACAGTATAAACAACTGTTTATACAATCAGGTTATACTTACCTTAAGAAGAAAAGTTTCTTCCTCCAAAGACATGTTTGATGCCAGCTGAGGTGCTTGGCTGCTTTGCAGTCCCTGATCTCCTCTTAACAATTTTCCCTGGCTATTCGGGGCTCTCTGAGATCCTTCTGAAACCCATCAGGGAATATGCATACTGCCATGGCCCAGCATCCATACCCTGCACTTGGAATGCGATTCCTTAGAGCTGGGAAATGTTCTTGAGCAGGCTTAAGAAAGGATGCAAGTCCAAAGACTTTCATCCTCAGCATCTTGGGATGGAAGAGCTCACAAGAGTGATTCACAATCTGGATCACTGTTAAAAGGTATGCTTGATCTTTGCAACCAATATATATATATGTATATACAAACATCAAAGGTGAGTTTGGGTATGACCTACAGAAACTATACTGCTGATACTGTGTCTTATCACCTCCTTGAAGCGGGACACAGTAGTTATTTGGCTGAGAAATGCTCATCAGATTTTCTAATAGGTATTTTACTACCTGCTGAACTATGCTGTAAAGTCTTCTTCAGAAGCACTTGTTTTTGGAAACAGTTCCATCTGGGAACTTAATCTTTTCTAGACTTGTTAGAAAGTTAAGTCTATTTCAAGCATGCCCTGTAATGATACCACTGGTTTTCCACTATCACACTCAACGTCAAGCTAGAACAGCATTTAAAGCTCTCAGCTAAAGCAAAATAAATTCAATACAGTCTGTTTCTTGGTTCCTGTTGTTAATTTGTCTTATGCAAATTACCAATCATAAAATGACATAGAAATGGTATTTTACCATATTCACTTCTGTTCACATTTTTAGAATTCATGTATTTTTGATTTAAAAAACCTATCAGTAGCTATTATGTCTGAATCTGCTCCTTTTCCTGTTTTTGATTTCCCTCACTGCCAGACCTCAAGTTGTCTCTTGCATCAGCCAAAAGCTTTTGTACCATTTTTAGCATTTGAAGCTTTTTTCTTGCATGTCCAGGTTATTGAGTTAATAAAGATAGGGTCAGTTTCCAGTTCTTTTAAAGATAGCTATGTGTACAATATATACATACACATATCTATATATCATAGAACATAGAAAGGCCTGGGTTGAAAAGGACCACAATAATCATCTAGTTTCAATCTCCCTGCTATGTGCAGGGTCACCAACCACCAGACCAGGCTGCCCAGAGCCACATCCAGCCTGGTCTTGAATGCCTCCAGGGATGGGGCATCCACAGCCTCCTTGGGCAACCTGTTCCAGTGTGTCACCACCCTCTGAGTGAAAAACTTCCTCCTAATATCTGACCTAAACCTCCCCTGTCTCAGTTTAAAACCATTCCCCCTTGTCCTATCACTGTCCACCCATGTAAACAGCCGTTCCCCCTCCTGTTTATAAGCTCCTTTCAAGTACTGGAAGGCTACAATAAGGTCTCCCTGGAGCATTCTCTTCTCCAAGCTAAACAAACCAAGTTACCTCAACCTTTCTCCATAGGAGAGGTGCTCCAACCCTCTGATCATCTTAGCAGCCCTTCTCTGGACCTGCTCCATATATCTACATATATGCAGTACATACACGTATATGCATTTATATGCATATGTGATGTGTATGTTTGCATTTATGGATATGCTACTTATCCATAGCAAATCCCTGATACTTTTCAGTGATTAATTCACTGTAGACTAAGAACAAGTTAAAATATACAGTATGACTGAAACAGACACATTTGCATAAACACACTAACATTAAATGCAGTTGCATTTTTGTTTCTAAAAGCTGTTTGTACAAAGTTGGGAGAATTCAGTCAACTTTAAGTTGTCATGCCACAAAATGAAACCAAAAGACATTCTATCAGTTCTATCAATCACACTGTTTCTGAAGTTCCACAATCAGATGCATATATGTATATACATACATATATACATATATATATATATATATATACATGGATTCCTGACACATACAAGATTTTTTCACTACTTCAGTAGTCTTCATCCAGCATTACTTTCTTCCCTCTCCACTGAAGATCTATTTCAGGAGATTGTATGAATGCATTTCCATGGCTGACACTTCATAGTCCCTTAGCCAGCACGTCTGGCTTCACCCAAGCCAAATGAAACCCATGTACTCCCACTGCAATGAGCACTTTGCTATTGCCGCTTTAATCCTGAAAGGTGGAAGTGAAACAGCAGTCATTTCTGCAGGTGGGAGCTGTCTGACTGCCACAATTCAAATGCAAATAAATATTCCATTGCACTTCAGGGAAAACATGTTAAATCAACAAGGCCCATCATTTAAACATCATAATAAGCAATTAGGCTGAAACTATGATATCAGAAATATCAGTGTCTGTCTAAGACTCTGTTCTCCTCCACATGAGAATTTTAATTAGGGCAGAACCAAGCACACAGCTGAAGTACAACCTTCAATCACACTCAGTTGTACCAAACAAAATTAATCCAATACATTTTCATAGTGTGCTACAGGTAGCTAATTAACTGTAATCACATAAGTCACAAGAGTAACAAAATGCCTTTATGTAGGCAGCAAGCGCTGCTCACTAGCAATATTACTGTATTCACTATGCAGTATTGGAACTGAATACATGCAGGAAAATTCCATTTCTCCTACAAAGAGAGCAGTGACCCACTGAACAGGCAGCTCCCTTCACCTGTCACAAAAGCACTCAGCGAGGGTGAGGAGTGCCACAGCTGACACATGGGCTGAGCATCACCTGACTGCAAGTGCGGTACATTACAGGAAACGCCGCTGCTGGAGCTGACAAAATACAGATATTTAATTCAAGGGAAAATGTTTTCCAACTAGCAGTTCCAGATTTTTGCTTGTGAATTGTTCCAAATGCAAACTCAAATAAATCTCAGTTAGTAATTTCAATGAAGCAGACACTATGATGAAAAATAACATTTTTTTTCTTCAAACTACATATAGGTACGTATGCTTATCCAAACTGCAGAGAGAAAAGCAGTCAAAGATAAGATACTCTAATATGGCATGTATGTATATTTATATACATATACACACATATATGTAAAACTCGAAATACACGCTACACACTTCTAAAATTCTCTAATAACATCATAAGCAATGTATGACATTGCTATAATACATTACATAGACAGCATCCAATATGTACCATGTAAAGATATATAAAGCCCATTACCATATTTATAAAGATCATTTATACTTTTGTTTGTCTTTTTGCTCTTCCCAGCCCCTTCTGCACTGCTTATTCAGGTACTATACCTCAAAATCACAACCAAAGATACTTTTGGTACTGTGACAGAAATTGCAAACATTGATGAGAAGCAGCTATTAGCAAATTCATGGGGTAGAAGCAGTGGAAGGATCGAAGAGATTTAATTAGCTACAGATGGCCAACTCAGAATGTCTAGTGACAGCCATAATTTGGTGAAATGCCCTGCCACTTACAGCACTGCTGGGAAATTGAGCTTCATAATGCTGCCAGATCAACACTCTTTAATATTTCTTCTAAGCAAGTCTAAACAAGGAAGGCATTACCTTTAATTGTGTAATTTTCCAAAATGTTTCAAACATTTTAGAAACTCATAATGCCTTTGAAAAACTTCAGTACCTCCCGTGAAATGGATCTAAAGCTGTAATG